CACGTGATCCTATGAACGGCTGAAACACACACAGTTGTTCAATTCTTCGAGTTCCTCAGCAGCCGCGTAGACAGAGCCATCGTCAGAGTGTCCGCTTCGCGTTCATTTCGTGTTGGAGAGGTTAACCTGCAATCCGACTGTGAGAGATTCTTCCTGCAACTGCTTTTCTTTCTTCTGCTGGAGCTGAACTGTGTCTTATGCGAAGGCGAAGCAGTCGTTCACCAATATCACCTTCATTAACTGCAATCAATCAATACTGATGCCGTTAGTGTAGTTTAGCTGGTTGAACGGCGACTCCATGGCGGCGATGAAGAGCGCTGGTGAGAAGGCATCTTCTTGGAGAACTCCTCAAGAGACACTGTGATGCAGCATGACGAACAGTTTGATAGCAGTCATGCAACCAGTGATCAGTTCTTCGATGAGGCTGGCACAAAAGGAGTTTATACCATGTTCAGCAAAGGCGTTTAGAAGAGTCGCTAATTCAATCGAATTGAACGCCTTGTAGTCGAATAAGGCAAAACAGAGTGGCATCTGATTTATGTTGCACTTTTCAATCAGCTGCTGAATGAAATATATATGGTCGATGGTAGAAAACTCTGTATAAAAACCGGCTTGCTCTTGATTTTTGATCAGTTCGAGGTCTTTCCGAATACGACTGTGAATGATACAGGGAAGTCCACAGAATGCTACAGTAACGTAATTGATCGATAGCTGCTGAGATCTTCCAAGTCGCCTTTCTTCCTGAAAAAATCTCTCTTTTTCACATTTTAGGCGTCTTGTTTTGCTTTAAGAATACCGTAAAAGGTTTGGCAAGCCCTTTAAACAAGATTGCTCTTCGAGCTTAATGACGTTCTAGCCTTATATCATCCTCGCCTGGACATTCGCCACTTTTGATTTATCTGATTTCCTATTCAACTTGGTAGTAGGTGACTTTTGGGACGACTTCTGGGGCAACGTGTGGCAACTTCCGATACACGCATACTTTTGAAGAATTTGGAGCGCCGTCGAATTTTCGGCAAATCGCATTTATCTGACTGCGATTAGTACTTCATGTTACTCCATCGTCTTTCAGCGCACTAAGAACCCGTTGTTTTATGTAAATACCTCGTTCCACCGTTTTCAGGATTTCCTTCGGCTCTGTAGCCTTGTTTAAAATAATTCTCCTATAATTTCCGTAGCCTTCCTCAACTTCTTCCCACGAACCAGTGTACACTATGTTCATTTTACCTAAGCCTTCAGCTGTGCTCTTCTAATATTAGCTAACTTGTTGAAGAGATGCTGCGTTGGTTTCTCGTTGACTGCACTGTCCAGCTTTATGTTCTAATGCGAATACTGATGGCAGCGCAGACAAAATGGGCATAATCCAAACCAAGGTCTTTCAAGGTTCATTAATGGCAGATTCATCGCGAGAGCCTTCAGATCGAATCGTAGTAATCGATATAGCGGTAACTCTTCAACACTTTTGATCTGCTCAGCTTTAATGACATCGATCGCAGCTGAGGAATGCAAAAAGCCCATTGTACAACCCTATGCAGATGACGTTCGCGCCTATGAGCGTTTTCCGGTAGCATATAGTCGACTTGGTTCAAACAAGTTCAAACTTCCGTTTGAGCTTCTTTATGTCGACGTGGGTGCTTTCAGTGAAGCCTGTGAAATAATCTCCAAGTTCCTTTCGCTCACTTTTTCCGTAGTTTCTGATAATATCCTCGGCGTCGTTCGTTGACTGCTTGACCACTGCATTACAAGTTACCTTGGACAAACGTGTAGGTAGGTATTTTCCCATTACGCCCTCAAATTACTCATAAAATTTTTCGATCTCTTCTTCATGTTTGTTAAGTTGTGCTGTAAGCTCGGATCATTTTTATTGCTTTTCTTTAGCCTATCTGTAAAATCAGAATTGCTATACTAAGTGCTATAATATCAGAGCTCAGTACAAACTGTATAGCCTTCCTTTCCACTATGAATTCAACGCCGCCGGGTTCTTGAAAGCTTTCCTGCGGAATATTTCGTCAGCTGTTCTACAGCGCAAGAATTTCGGTAGATCATCCGCTTCCGCATACTCCAATGACGTTCGTCTTGATCTCCTCTGCTTCTGTAATGGACATATCAAAAAATGGATCTGTCTACAGCATTCTTGCATTGTGGTTAGCCACGAAAAATCTTGACGATGTTCCAAATATGTTTACCAGTCAAGCCCTGCGGTTTACAGAGTTGTAGGTGTTGTTCTGAGCGACAAAACAGTTTGCGTCTATTTACCCGGTTTCCGTTTCCCTTTAAGCGGTTTTGACCATTAATAGTTTGGCCGTTCATTCTGAGTGCCAACCCCCGCCAATGCGTCTCCATCCTTAATGTATCCTCACGGATTTATAGAAGGGGAGCATTTTATGAACTTGTGGTCATGGAAAGATATCAATGCTGAGTGACGGACAGCATCATCGTCTCAAGCTATCACAATGGGCACCCGCACCAATTCGAAGCCATCACGTAGCAGGAACTCCTGTGGCAAATACAAATATTAGCTTACCAACCACGTAACAGATGTATTAAAAAGACGGCAATTCACATCTCTGTGCATAGTTAGCAAATGAGCGAAACACAGCAAACTGCCCCTCTAGTAAAGCGCGACATCAAGAGGTCGCCTAACAAACATCCCACAGATGCAATAGTAGGGTTTCGCAGCAAATGCAGACTATTCATAAAAAAGGACTTTTACCAGAAGCAAAATCATATGCTGTAAAATCAATATAAACGTTGGATAAACATTCTACTCGAATCAGGACGGCATCTTCAGCGCTCCTTAAAATCTACCTCTCGTCTTCCAAACGATCACTATCACTGGCAGAAGACAGAGTCTGTACTTGCACTATAAATCCTCAGTAGGATATTCCTAAGTGAAATCGTAAAGCAGATCAGCGCGTTTCCCACAAGCTCAATGAAAAAAGGTGCCACATATATGTGAGAGAACGACATCCCCGGTTTCGATTAAATAAAAACATCGAGTATGACGATGTTCCGGCTCAGCTTTTTTCCTTCGGTCGCTAAGATATCTCGACGCATGCGATGAGCCCTGAAAGTCTGTCAAATGAAGCTCCAGTATGGATAATGTAGTAATACCATGAGCGTATGTATTACCGTAAGCGGTAGAACCGACTGATATTGCTTAGTAAGTCAGCGAAAGAGCCCTAATTCAGAGACGCCAGCAGCTGGCTATCTATTCATAAACAGCGTTTTCTCACGGTGAAGGAATGTGGCTGCCCCACTGTTATCTTCCACCTACTGTGAAGAACAGAGCTAATAAAAGAATGACCAACCTAAACAAACTGGAGAAACACCTTCACGCACATCCCGTCCCACACGTGCCTGGTTATGCGCAACTTCTAGCAGGGCAATAAATGAGTAAGCACACAATTCGCAAATTCAAGTAATTCATGAAGCTCCCTAATCAATTCAGCTTACTTGACATAGCCAGCTTTCTCCAAGGCGACCAGTGCTAAATGGGTGAAAGTAGGGATAGCGTCTTCAAATCGCACGTTAACGTTAGGGTTTTGACCTTTCTTCTCAAGTGTCCACACGCCGTTTGGACCCCTGTAGCAAGATTAGTTTCATGGTTATTGTCAAAAATTTCACAAAAATAATGCAAAAATGCCTAAAATCCGGAATGCCTGCTGCTGTAGAAATCCCTGCGCCCGTGTGAACTACACAGTGCTTGCTATCCTTAATCCACTGCGCTAAAATCGTCGCCTTTTCTTGCACTACATCATCAGGATCGAAAACCTGAAACCAAGCATATTTTATTCAAAAATTACTTCTGCCATTCTAAATACAAATAAACGCTTAGGACGAAAATTAGGCAGTGTCAAGGCGGCCCTCTCGAGGTTCGAACTCAAGTACTGAGCTCGCTCATAGCAAGGACGGCTGTTGCTATTGTCACGATAATCAGTTGTCCTTATCGACATCTAAAAATGTTGTATTTAAACAGTTAGGCCTACAACCAACGGGGAACTCTTCACATTCAGTTTCAATTATAGAGAAGAGATGAGCAGCATAGATTTGAACAAGCTGTAATCGGCTTAAAAT